CCAAAGTTGGTCACAATCACACCTCATGCGCGCGCGCGCGCGTCGGGCAGGGTACACCTTCATTCACGTCCATCACATCACACTCATCACCCCGGTCCAACGTCGCCGAACTCGCCCCTCCGTCTCTTCACGGAACCACCTTTGTGGCTGTCTGATACAACGCCACACATCGAAGATCGCTATCGTGACTGCCCAGGTTGACTCATTCCTCAGACCGCTCGCACCACGCGCACCTCTCCCACCAACTCGCGGCACTCAGCACCGCTGCCCGTGCTGAGCGAGAGCATCTGCGCCGACATCGTTCAGCGCACACTGTCTGCCATCAGCTGCTTCTGACATTTGCCTCTACCACTGTCCTCCGCCTCACTTTCGATTAGCACTGCTGCCCACTTCTTTGGATACCCGACCATGCGCAGCTACGAGATCGAACAGGTGAGTGCACAGCACTTGGAAGGGCAGCTCTGCTACATCGGACGCGCGCCTAGCGTAGTCATCTGATCCATCCTTTCCCACATTGCCATTCACTTAGGCTGCGCATGCGTTCCGCGCTCGGCTGGAGCTGGCCTCGCTGAAGGCGGCGCGAGGTTGGGCTGCACTTAACGTAGAGGAGCTGGATGGCTCCACGCCCACCACATCGTCCTTCGCGCAGATCTCGGAACCATTGGCGGGAAATCGCGCATCGTCGAAGGCAGCTGAGGAGCTTGATATGAGTGCGAGTGCTGAGACCGGCGCTCGAATTTCAGGATCTGAGCAAGGTGGGAGGATTGGGCTGGGAATCGGACCTACTGCACCGCATGGTGTCCACATCAACTCACCCTCTCGAGACCAGTCAACTTCTGGACAGCCACAACATAATGTCGGTGCAGAGGCACCTGCAACTTCCCACGATGTCACCCTGCCATCATCTCCCAAGCAGCGCTCTGTCACGTCCACTACCACTGCCGCATCGCCGGACCTGTTCGCCATGGTGCTGGGAGACGCCAACCTCACTCTTAATTTGACCAAGCCCGAGTCTCGCTCGACTCCGGCCACGCCTACAAAGCCCTTGCCGGTCAAAGGGACCTCTCGGACCTTGCACATGCTCGCCTCGTCTCCCCAGCTGGGCTCCACTGCAAGGACTGGCGGCACCGGTCGGATTCCACCACACTTTGATCCCCACAACAACACCGAATCACATCCTCGCACCCCAGCTCACGGCTCTTCTTCCAGACGCCAGACCCTTGCCAGTCCTGCCCTCGATTCTCACAAACGGGCTCCCTCTGGAACAGCACCCAGCACGCCAAGTCGCGGTACGCTTCCCAATGGACATGCAGCCAGCTCTTTAGCCTATGATCTCGGTCTGGCACGGGAATCAGGAACACCTAAGCGGACTGGTCCTCTCAACAGCGAGGAGTTTGGCGACCTCAGCGTTCGTGCCAAGCAGCAAGGTCGCGTGAGCGTTAGAAAGGAGGGGTTGGTTAACCAAAACCAGACAGAGACGGATAGAGTGGCAGCAGTGTTGGCGTCTATGGCAGACAAGAGGGCGGACTCGTCGATGAGCCCACCTAGCAAGCCAAGAGAGATGACGCCCGGCAGAGCTCCATTCGGCTCGGGCGGTGCGATCACTCGCGCAAATGGGTCTTTTGCCGATCCCAACAGCTTCACGCCGCGAGGAAGGACGCCAAGTGGCGATCCACATACACCATCTATGCGGTCCAAGGGCGGCGCTGTCATCGGCAAAAGTCCGAGCGGCCCACACTCAGTCAAACATTCAGAGAGTCCTCGCAGCCGTTATCGCCCGCATGAACACGAAGATGGCGAAACAGCTGCTCAACTGATGCTTTATCTCGCACACTCGCCCAGCCCAGCCCAGGAAGCCAAGTTTAAAGGCGCCACACCGAGCCTTCGGAACGATCTTAGGCCTTCTGCTACCTCGCAAAGACTTGCGCATGCAGTCGTCAATCGGTCGAGCGAAAGCAGCGCAGAGGGCGCAGTCAGAGCTAGGAGCACCATTGGACGAGCTCTATGGTCAGATAGCGAAGACGAGCCCAACTCGGATGGCATGCTTGCGAGCGAGCCTTCTTCACAGGAGAGCACTGCCAGCCGTCTGGCACCTGCGGCCCCACTCAGCTTTGACGCTTTGCCTCGCAGCCGAAACGGTATTGACCACATTGCCACTGGTCAGATGGCAGAGGCAGCATTCCAGGATGGCGACAAGCTATCTCAAGGTGTCGGAGATGCGGATGGTGATCATGACATGAGCGAGCCAGAGCGCCGCTCATCCACCGCGAGCATGTCGACTTCGCCAGACCGGTCTTCGAGCTCTCAGAGAGCGCCTACCACACCACCTCGCGTACTGGAAGCGCCGACCACGCCTGGTGCGCCTGGACCTAAGCGAGCGGTGGACTTGACCAATCCATCCGACTTCTCGCTGCAAGACTTCCTGAACGTTAGCCCTTCGCCCAAGCCTCGATCCAGGCTGCACTCTGGGCAATTCACACCATCCAGTACCCAACTTGAAGGCGGTGTCTGGCTCGATGCTCCCACCTCGAGCTGGAATCTCGGTCACGGGGACGAAGGCGTGCAGGGCGGACCCGATAGCCTTGCTACCATGCTCAACACGCAGCTCCAAAACGGAGTACCCTTGCGTGCGCATGCTACACCTCCCAGACCTCTTCGGTCGCGCTTCTCCACCCTCGATCACTCTCAAGACGGATTCAGGAGCCTGTTGGACTCGGGATTCTCGATGAGCGGTGCCGGACACCTGCACAAGAGTCCTCGTCTAAGGGAGATGGGCGAAGAGGAAGACACCCCGTCGAAGAAGAGACGCAGGATCGGACTATTCCCTTTGAACGAGGAAGCGTCCGAATGAAGGGGACTCGCTCCCTATACGGCTCATTGCTGCGTCCACGCCCTGCAAATTGTACCATGCTCGGTGTCTGTTCCAAACGTCTTCTTCGCGCTCGAGACTCTACTCGCGCCCTTCGTCACTATGCTCCTCAAAAACCTTTTTCGACCGGCTTCCAGAATCTCAGCAACCACTTCTTCGAACAAGCTCTGTAGCAAGATTTCTCTTCTCTTACCCCCCC